ACAGACGGACGGACAGACAGACATGGCTTAATCGACTTCTCTATTCATTCTGAGCATTTATGTATACATTTGTCTATATCTATCTAGATTCGTTTTGGCTGTTACAAACAACCGTTATGTGAACAAAATTAATATACCCTTGTGCACAAGTGCGCTCGGGTATAAAAACCTAAAAAATATTTAAAATGTTAGTCAGAGTTATAAGCGGCCCGAAAAGAAGCGTTAACTTCCAAAAAAAAAAACTTGAAAAAACGGTGCAAATCTAATGACCTTCAAAAATATGCCTACTCGTATAATAAATACATATACTTAGTTAGATTGATATGACTTTTCGTAAAGGTGGCAAGCCTATTCAAAGGTATTTTCATAAATCTCTTTCGATTGAGACTCAAATTTTAATATTTCATAAAACTAGTCTATAAGTTAACTAAATTCGAGTTTTCAAACAGGTGGAAATCGTTTTCAAAAGCATTTTTAAACTTATATCCTTTTAAATATCTTTCGTCTGACATTGTATAAGACATTTCAATTAACTGTTGAATTAAGTTGAACTTGTTTTTTCAAACACGTTTTAAACCAATTTCGATTGATGCCTATGCTTTAACTTATTAAGTAATTTGAATTTAATTTTTTTAAACAAATGACAACTTTCTTGAAACCCGTCACAAATATTCTAAATATTTAAGCTAAGATTTCTTCACTTTCGTTTGGCACCCACATTTTAATATTTTTTATAACATGTGTATTAGTTAACTTGGCTCGACTTTTAAAACATGGGCAACCTTCTTCAAAATATTTTGAAACTAAAATCTTTTGAAACCTTCTTCGTCTGACACCCATATTGTCGAGCATATTTTATATGGACAACACCGTCAGACAAAAAAATTATTAAAAACCAACGCGATTTTCTAGCGACTTGAAATTTGCTCTTAAACACACTAAAATTTATTGAGCTAGAAAACTGCATACCCAAAACTTTTCTAAAAGTTCTGAATAAAAAGTTTAAAATTTTCGGGTGCAAAAATTAATGTTTGTTGAATTTTCATAATTTTTGTACGAAGTTTGAAATGTAAATTTACATATGTGGGGCAGCTTAGGTAAAGTGCTAGACATTTATGAAAAAAATATAAACATTAAATAAACGAAATAAAAATAGCCAAAACTAGTCAAAAGGTCACTTGACTTAATTAGCTGACCGCAAGATTATGTATGTATATATAAGCAGTGTTGCCGTTTTGGTTACTTTTAACCAATTTTGGTTATTTTTTTCCTGCCTGTGAAGTTGTTAAGATCTTTCCCGTTTTAGTTATTTTTTAATATTTATCGTAGTTTTTAATTGACCTAGGCCAGCTACACCTCTCGAGGTTGAGGAGAGTAGCAGCAGCAGTGGCAGCCCCAGCAGTGAAACCAAGTAAGAATATTTGGAATGAATGTATTAATATTACTTAGATATGTATGTATTTGTTTTATAATATACAGAATACATAATATACATATACGGAATCCACTACCATAGGGATTTGGCTATTCTTTTTCCATTACTGCTTACTTTATTAATTTAAGTTAAGATTAATAATAATAATCTTATAGCAAGTAGGTTCAGTGCAAATACCATTCCACAGTTTTGAAAAAATCGGGTTTTTGCGCTTTTGTAAAATTTATTTACCATCGTATAAGCGGTACTACGTTTGGCGTATACGAGGTATTTCGCTCTGAGCGACGATATAGTTCAATAAGTCCAATTTTTAATTGCTTAATCTTAATCTCCAAAAATATACATGTTCACGCTGATTAGGTATTTCATTGATTCTTACAAAGAAGTTGGAAACTGTGTACCTATGTACTTATTTAAAAACGTCATTTAGAGTCTGGTAATGTTTACGAAGATATTAACATTCATACATATGCATTTAATACGGGAAGAATGATTTTCTAAAGTATGTATTTACATATTACAGCCTTAAAAGGATTTACTTTTCAAAAATGCAAATAAAAATTGATTTGCCTTGGTTTGTAAGCTTTTTCTGAATTGTTAATCTAATAAAAAAATTTGATATTTTTCCTTACATTTGATAACTTTTTCGTCTAATCTTGGTTAGAAAGTTCTTTGCGCGGCGGCAACACTGTATATAAGTAATTTTTTTATGCTATATCTATCCGATCACACATACTTTGTCATTGTGTCTTTGGTGTGTTTTCTCTGTCGCAGCGTGTTATTGTACTTCTGTACAAAGTAAGCCTCCCCCTTTTAGGAAATGCGAGCATTCCACCATGCATGATGAAAACATTCTGCAGAATGAAGGAAACATTACTCTTTGTTGGACAATCAATTTCTTTTTAAAATGCAAGCAAGTATTTATTCCCCCTTGCTGATTGCAGAAAGTCTACATGGACTCTAGAGAAACATTTCACAAAGTTATATAGTACCTCATAAAATGAATGCGGTATCCTTTCACAAAGTTTCTTTTAAAATAAATATGGGAACATTTAAGAGAGCTTCTTTCATTTAAAATTTGTTCAGTAAAGCGGTAAGTTGTTATTGCTCCTTTCAGAGCTTCCACGAGAAGCGCCCAGGAGTGCTATAATGTCATAAGATATAATCTTCTGATTAACCTACCCCAAATACAAACTTAGAATCATTACAGGCACCCTCACCGGACACTGCAGCTTTAGATGACATCTGCAATCAAGTTTTTTTGCTGGACTCTGGTACCTAATGAACACTAAATCAGAAACTGTTCTACCTTGAGGTTTATAGGTACGAGTATCATCCATATAATTGTACTTTTTAGTGATGTGCCGAGTCGATACTTTTAAGTATTGATCGATACTCGGTACCGATTTAAAAATATCCAATACTTTCGAAACTCGGTGCCGAAATGTTGCGATTTCTAATAAGAGCGCACAATAGCCAAAAATATGGAATAAAAGCAATTCAGGGGAGCCTGCCTATGATTTGCCGAATGTGGGGACTAATAGATGTTTTAATGCCGAGTAAAACTATAATTGTGTATACATTTTCCGGAAAGGTTATATGGCAGTTGTTCAATAAAATATCGGAATGGGGTCTCCTCTAAAGCTTCATAGATTTAAATTTCCCGTGTTCCAAAAATATACCAACTGGTATTCTAGTTCAAAAAGTATGTGAGCGGAATATCGATATATCTCGGCAGCCAGTTCGAAAACGCCCGATCTTAGAAAACTTTGCAAGAACGCCCTACTTCAGTATTTGATTTAAGAGCGTCCTATTTCAGAATTTTATTGAAAAACATCCTACTTATCTCAGAATTTGTTTGAAGAACGCCATATCTGCGTTGGACGGATGTATTGGAATTTCTACCTAGGAAAAGCTATTTTATTCTAAGATCGGGTTTGGCCGGTAACATATACACATTATGACGAAACTTTGATCTTTCGAATCGGTATCTGATACCGAAAAGGAAGTATTGAGTACCGAAATTTCCTTCAAATATTGGGTACCGACAATTCAGCACATCACTAGTACTTTTATTTTCACCTTCAACCCACATACAGCTGTAAATTTTCGTTATTTCTATTTAGAAATGGTATTAATTTTAAGTCATTCTGTTAATTTGCTTGCAATGAATAAATAAATAAGTATTAAAATATCGAAAATGGTTAAGTATTTATATAAATTTCACTGTGATGTGGGCTTCGTCTCGTATTAAAAGCAACTCTTTGACACATTTTGCTTACTGGGTGGGTATGCAACCGCAAGTGTTCGTACTTAAATGCAAATGTGTTTATGTACGAATATAATGATATGACTGCTTTAAGAAATTATCAACAACCGTGCGCTCTACTTTAATAAAAAATAGAAACACGAAATAAAACAAATAGAAGCAGCGCGTGTAGTTCTGGCGTTGGAGTTCTCGTGGTATACCGATGTGACATAGAAATGCCAGCTTTGGCGCATATCATCTAATGGGACTGCTTATGCACTAATGTATGTATGTTCATCTATACTCTTGTATCGATATTTCGTAGTATACTCTGTCGGGCTTACGGAGTAAAGGCATTTAGGGAAGTGGCGTGTTATCAGACTGAAGTCAGTCAAATGTAATTAAATAAAAAATATGGCATTTTCTGTTTAATAAAAATAGTCTAAACAAGGCGCACACACAAATGTCGAAAGATTGTACTAGAATTGTAATCATATACAT